AAGGCGACACGAACTATTGGCGCGTGTCAAAACGATTCAACTTTGCGGCAGCGGGGCGTGTTCTTTCACCACTTAAATTTACGACCCTTTGAGCCGTGTCAATTTAGTGAACTTCGACAGGCAAACTCATAGCCTTGTCGTGGTCGAGAGCGATTTGAACCAGCTTCGGGCACTCTAGTCACACTCACAGTTTGATCGCGACGATCAGTTTCATTTCAAAGGCGTCCAAAGTTTGGGCTTGTTAGTTTATCGTATTTCTTCACTCCTGTATATATTTGTCCCTGGATCGTATGCGCTCCCGCATAGCCGCTCACAATCGGAGTGGTCACTGCGCTATAGGGACGGAGATAGCTTACGGGTTCTGTAGACATTATATGATAATATCTCCTGGGTGCATCCGGAGCAAATGCCAGAGTCAGCACTACGGCTGAATCAGTAGTGGACTGTCTCCATCACTCTGAGTTCAGTCTCTCAGCCGCAGATCGCACTGCGGCCGCCTCTGTGCGGGGGCCAACGACTTCGGTCACGGCACACAGGTCAAGCGGAGGAGGGGGTCATCATCCTCATCATCATCAGCTGGCCAGGCTAGCATATCTACAGAAGGTACCAACATATGCAACTGAGGCACGCAAGCAACGTGACGCTCCCGTCCAACGAAGCCAGCCGAGATCGGCATCCAAAGCTGAGGGGCCTTTCAATACGTCAGCTCATGCTTGTGGTGCAGAATATCACTTTCATCATGACCACTATGGTTACACATTTAAGTCCTATATAATCATTACGCATTGCATGCAACCCATGTGCTTCGGACTGACACATGGCTTACGGTGCTGGACTCCTTGTGATCTGGTGGGAGCATTTTTGGTCCAAACGCCACCATTCGCTGAACCCATTAGATGATGGCGCGACGCTGACTCACCGACACGAGAAGGCCTGACAGCACTGCGCTCAGACAGCTGGACACGTGGAGCGCCGGCGGTCATCGCATAATGCATGACCCGGCGCTCGTGCGGCTGACAGAGCACACGTGTCGCCGGGTAAAGCAGGAGCGGCGCGTGCGGACAGTACCAAGCGAACGGTTTTTGACTTGCATGGCGTTGCAGATGATCTGCGTGGCACCCGTAGTGGTTTGGTGAGGATTAGGCTTGTATGTGTCAGCATGGCTGTGTCGGGAGTGGGACAGGTTTGGTAACGACTTTTGGTACGGTGGACGATCTGCCACCCAGGTGTGCTAAAAAGACATGCAACTAGAATAGATAAGGTCAGAATGTCATGCTTGGGACTGAGGCCTAGGAAAGTTAGTTGGGCACTCCAGAACACCAATTGAATGAGATTACGCAAGCATACAACCACGGGCGTTTCGGAGCGCAGTTGGAATAAGGTTTCAGTTACAATATGACGTGTCGTGTTTGGAGCAGACTCGATGTCCTGACATGCTTCATCTGAGCCCGAACAAACCAGGTAAAACACCAGCGAAGTTTTACTTATCTACGGGTTGTCTGAATCCACAATTTCCAACAAGAAAACTTTGGGAATCATTTATGCATTTTATGCTGCCTAATTATTGTCCTTTGTGTTTGATTTATGGGAAATTTATGCGAATAGCGATGGAAATTTTATGGAAGTTAGGATTACGAACTGATGAAATTATGACATCGGACCATGCAGATTCTGGAGCAGTGTTCATGTTAAGTAGCAGATTTGCAAGTTCGGCGCTATTCCAGTCTCTATCGACATATGGAACCTCCGCAAATGTCAATGTTACTCGTACTAGTAATACAGCTTTTGCCGCGCCGTGGGAGCGACGTGACGACACAACTTAATGTTGTCGTGTTGCAAATGAAATAAAAGCTTACGCGAACGAAGCCGGTCGCTTTTGAGACACCATGACAATGGCCCCTATCATTGCGTGGGAGCAGTTCTCCTCCAAGGATATGGCAGGCAGACGTTCACTGACGCTTGACATCCGCATATACGTATCGTGCATAGGGCATGTATTGACGATTGGTCACCCTCGGTTGTGACAAGTCCTTGTTATTTCAGGAAATAACTGAGAAATGTGTAATGGTTTGTGTCACAAGACCAGCAGACCCCGACCGCGAGGAACACTGGGCAATCCTGCTGGCTCAAGCGTGGGTCGATGTGTGCGGTCGGTCACAAGCTCTGGCGCCTAAACCACGGACCCACCTGTCCTGGGAAGTTTGTGATGACTGCTGTCGGATCTGACATCAGGGACCTATCCCAGCGGCCTGTGCAGATGGAGACGCGACGTCATGCACGCGAATGTACCGGCTACAAATCACTAATAGCCATCACCATCATTAAGAGACAAAAGTTTTACGTAGAATATTGGTCATGACTGCAAAAATGATTGTGAAAGAGTCACTGCCCTCGTTGATGAAATTCGCCCAACCTGACTGTACTTGCCAGCAGTTAATTTTCGTACAACACTAGCTTGAAGTGACCGCGCAAATGCCTTACCGGCTGTTCCTGTCTATTAAGTTTCCATGAAAGGCAGGCTGCAACGCATTTATCAGGCCCGTTGGTATCTGTTGTCAACTGTGCCTGGATGAATGAGCTCAGTTTCGACATGGTTCACATGATGACAGCTAATGCTCACCTTTGTTATTGTCTCATTTGTATATACAAAGCGTCACGCTGTTATTTACTTTTAATTCTACGGAACTTGCGCAAAGAATGCGCATCGCATAACGCCAGGCCTTACTAGCTACTGTGAATTCTGAACAACTTTAAGGCCTTGTTCTCCATTTTAATACAACCTTTTCACCCGAAATTATCCAAATGTAATGCAATTCAAAGCTGCGATGTTAAAAGTCTATTCAAAGTCCATCGCCTGTTAGCCATCGCATGAACTATCAGAAAGCGTTGCATTTTTATCGCCGGAAAAAGTCAAAACGGTCACAAACTTAGCCCGGGATGTCAAGAATTTCACTGACACTGATACAAGCGTCATCTTCCAGTGGTATTTGCAGCAACTCTGCTGCTTCCAAAAGCGGTGTTTTTGCCTTTGAATGGCTTATATATTGTTGAAATGCCTTTACCTACGCTCACAGTAAACGTGTCATCTACCTAGGCGCCAGAGGCTTACGTTCACGAAATGAGTTCGGGGCAGAACAGGAAAAATGACCAAACCCTTCTCCCAGATACACAATCAAACAGCTTGCTCCCCGGACTTGGCCCACCTCCTTTCCAAGCTAGGGGAGCTAGAGCCCAAGTTGGGAAAGGGGAGCGAGCTGAAGCCCAAGTTTGCGGCTGAAGCGCCCCCAACTGCAAAGACTAATTTACGTGCTAGGAAAAAATATGCCACGCCTATTATAACAGCATTGGCACGGCCAACTCATTCAATACTCTTGGTATTCACTAGAACCGTTCTACACTTGTGTCAGCATTATCAACTTACTCATCATCACCGCCATTAAAGTTCTCAAAAATGCTCTTCATTTGGCGGATTTTCTCACAAAACCTACTCATCCGAGCCCCGTGGCACCGTAAGCCCTGAATGTACTGTAACCCGTTTGAGAAGCATGCTTAGTGCTGTTAATTGTATGGTGGATGTGATACTGGGCCTCATATTTCTCTCTCATTTTGTTCTGGGCGCACATTTTCGCCCAGCCTGCCTTGCTATTCCTAGATAGATAATGTTGTTCTATTTCAGGCTTGCCAGTCTCCACCTTTGCCTTCATTTCAATAATGGTGATGGTGGAATTGCCATACAGAATGTTTTCAAGGACGTTGAGATGTTATGTACACTATTCTGATCTCTCTGTTCTGAGTTTAGAATGGAAACTTGGACTATTGAGGTTTGGAGTTTTATAAATTTTCGCAACGTGTACTGTCATGAATCTGCAGTCACGGCCTTCATTACAAAATGTGGATGTAAACCGCAAGTACAGGTCAGGCACTTAAGCTCATATCAGGTAACTGCACTAGAATACTGAAACGCAATTATGTTGTGATCCTGCGTTCAAGATCTGTGAAAGAAAAAGTATTTTACGAATGCAGGCTGACTAAAGCGCACGTGTTTTTGCGCATGCGTGTACATTATTGTGAGGTTACCGATAGTTCAACTTGAACACTTGGCATGCCTTACATTGCACAAGCACTAAGCCACCTTATTTGGACCTCTGTCCGTTTTTACGTTACAAATTCTTTCATTGATGTGATAACGTTTTTCAGTAATTCACGTCTTGAGCGCGAAAGGACCTCAGGAGCAGGGCTCAGGTACACCGCGCTTAAAGCTAAGCGCTGCGCCGCTGGTGCGCTTCCCAAGCTTGGCATCACCTCGTTCGCCCCGCATCGCTGTCCTGCCGTGGCGGTCCGCCGGAGGTGTGCCGTCCGCCCGCCGGAGGTGTGCCGTCCGCCCGCCGGAGGTGTGCCGTCCGCTCGCGGAGAGTGCCGTCCTGCCCGCCGGAGGGTGCCGTCCGCCCGCCGGAGAGTGCCGTCCGCCGCCGGAGATGTGCCGTCCGCTCGCCGGAGGTGTGCCGTCCGCCCGCCGGAGGTGTGCCGTCCGCCCGCCGGAGGTGTGCCGTCCGCTCGCCGGAGGTGTGCCGTCCGCCCGCCGGAGGTGTGCCGTCCGCCCGCCGGAGGTGTGCCGTCCGCTCGCCGGAGGTGTGCCGTCCGCTCGCCGGAGGTGTGCCGTCCGCCCGCCGGAGGGTGGGCCGTCCCGCTCGCCGGAGGTTGTACCGTCCGCTCGCCGGAGGTGCGGCGCCGGCCTGCCGGAGGTGTACCGTCCGCTCGCCGGAGGTGTGCCGTCCGCTCGCCGGAGGTGTACCGTCCGCTCGCCGGAGGTGTGCCGTCCGCTCGCCGGAGGTGCGGCGCCGGCCTGCCGGAGGTGTACCGTCCGCTCGCCGGAGGTGTGCCGTCCGCTCGCCGGAGGTGTACCGTCCGCTCGCCGGAGGTGCGGCGCCGGCCCGCCGTCGGGTGTGGAGGTCAGACCGGCGGCCCCGGCGGCGCGCCAGTCGACGCCGGAGTGCGCCGGAGGGAGGGTGCTCGCGCGCGCCCCGACCCCGCGACAGTAGCGTGACCGTGACGGCGGCGTGACGGCCGAGACCGAGGTGCGGCGTCACGGCGCGGTCAGAGTGAGCCGTGCGAGCGGCACAGGTCAGGCCGGGACGCGGCTGGGCAGAAGACAGGTCGGGTCGGATCCGCGCCGTGTAAACTGAGTGACAGGTCAGGACGCGGCAAGGGTCGGGTCAGATCGGTGCGACGGGCACTGAGCCGAAGGTCAGGTCAGGACGCTGTGAGGGGCAGGTCAGATCGGTGTTCTTGGAGGAAGCCTAGGCCAGACGAACGCACTACACGTGTCCGATCGATGTTTATGTTGCATGGAACACTATGTCAGGTCAGGTCAGGGCACTGCACGGGCTGGGCTGCAGGATAACACCATACGTCAGGTTGGCTCACGACATAGCCCTCCAGGCGAAGGCCAGGTCAGATCGGTGATGAGAGGGCCAAGGAGAATAGCGGTGCAGTCACACACCAGGGTCACCGGGGCACGTGATCGCAGCATCCCCATCTATATGCAAACGACCCGTAGCTCTGCTCGAAGCCCCACATTGTTGATGCTGCTGATAATGGCCGCGGGGGCTCCGAATACATGAGCTACGTAACCAGTCAGCACTCAATGGAGCCGCACGAAATTAGTTTGGTAAATCGGAGCGGCTTCCTCCCTCCCCGTCCTCGGTAGTGAGTACAATGTGTTTGCGTACGTTCAGCATGCCTGCGTGAGTCGCGCACATACACTTGTGACAGATCAGGGTAGATCTGTGTCGTGTTATGCAGGCCGCAGGTCAGGTCAAGTCCAACAACCTGGTGTGATACTGCATAGCAGGTGGTGGGGTTGAAGGAAGGCAGTCGACTTCCCCGAATATAGCTGCCCTCATACATAGGAGCCTTCCTCTTTACTTCTCTCGCTTGCGGCTCCATCCCACTTTATAAGGTCATTCATCACCACCAGTGTAATAATGCTGCCACTGGAATGTGGGGGCTCGCGGGCTCGTAAACAGAAATTGGCCCAGCACAGCTATCATAAAGCTGGTTTCGCCTAGCGGCAACGCCGCATTGCTCGAAGCATTGGTATACGTTGTGACTATATCGGCACATTGCTGGTGAGCAAGTCACGTTAAGCGGAACAGCTGCCTTATGGTTCGTGCCTATCTGTTTTTTTTACATCCAATGTGTTTCAAGAGCAGTGATGTCGAATCCTGTTATACAGGAACTTTCCGCACGCATAGTGACGCAATATATTTGCATGTGCTATTGATTGATCGAAGATACTATTCCGATCGTGGTCATCCATTCCAAGTGGACGGGGTTTGTCGCAGTTGCTTGTTCTCCGTTGATGATTTCTCCCTTAGTTTGACGACTTCTTCCTCGCGTGAATTGTGCCTGGGGGGAGGGGGGGGAGGTAATTTGCCGAGCCACGCGCTCGTGATCAACTTGCAATGAGCACCATCACGCTGGAGGCAATGCGTCTAGTGTTAAGTCAGAAACTCTTTTGCATGACAAATTGGTCCAGACGAGAACACGTGGTATGTATTTCTGTATTACTTATGTTTCCAAGTCACCTTTGCGGTTACGAAGGCTATGTTCAGCGGATGTCTTCCTTTGGATATCGTTAAAAACAAGTTTAAGACGTTAACATGTCAACAGTATTCAGCTCGAAAGGACCCAGAAAATATCATGGTTTTTTGTAACTTGCAACTGGAATGATGACTAATGAAGGTCGTTCAGTATGAGAACTCTGAACCGGGGCCCACCTAAATCACTGTTCCCAGCCGATGTTGTTCGCCGTTGAGTGCTCACCCTTCGCTGTTACATTTTGATGGTACTGATACTACAAGCTAAGCTTGACTGATAGCATTCTTGACTCTATGAGTTGGAGGAGACAGTGTTGTTCTTTCCGCTAGATTTAGGGAAACGTCTTGATGCTATTGACAGCCTGAACCTCATCCAAAAGTATGCTTTCCACCGTATCCGAAGAATCTGGGTCAGGAACGGCTTTCAGAGTCGCTTGTAACAAATGTCCCTTGGTACGTCTCATTCTGGTACCAATACTGTGGTTTGTGTGGGCATGAACTTAGTCTCGTTAATATCGCCATTTTCCGATGGTAGTCCGTCTGCGCACATAGAGTGAAATCCTGATGGCTCATGTAGATAATACTCTGGTTTTGGTATATGGCGAAAACCTTGACTTGGTGTGCATTGCTACTCGCATGAAAAACATTCTTCAATCGCTTTTATTGGGTCCCGTCAAAACCCGATGTCCGTGGAAGCAGATAAACTAATATGCGTATTCTCGATATGCCCAAAATGCTGCCTAATCTAGCCTGTCTCGCTCCACGCTAGCAGAACGCTCATCGCAACGACAGACAACCGCCAAGAATTCGCGTGACATTTAATCGACAGCCTGTCATTTGAACTCCCCGTAGACGAGATGATAACCTGGTGTAATAGTCGCTTACGTATAGCCGAGCCGTGCCGAGCACATCCAGCCGAGGGAGGTCCTTCCTCACTCCTCTTCTCACTGTCATCGACGGTCGCATTGTTTGCGTCGCGTGGGATTGCATTTCCCGCCACGGCAGCACGGTTAGCAAATCAATACACCGCATCCAAGAGGTCATAGCTCTCAGCGCTGGGACTGCGCGTAGTCGACACCGACACGACCGCGATCAGCGATACACTTCCGCGGCTCAACGGCACTCGTCTCATAGTCTAACCAAACAGTGAACATATAAGTCTGTCGTAACATGCGCTGATTACTGGCGAGCCCGTTTCCGCTGCGCTGCCGTCGGCCGTCACCAGCCACGCTCGCCGCGTTTTACGCGAGAATCGGACGCAGTCTGCCAAAACTGCCGGTGGTTTAGACGGAAGTAGTAGTCAGCAGGAAAAAAGCTGGGGCGTGGAGTCGTTTCCCGCCGCAGGGCGTGCGTGCAGGTCATCGCAGAGCGCGCAGACCATCTGAATGTTCAAAAGAGGCGACAATAACGATGTCATTATAGCACAGTTATGCCGCTACCTAGGGTTCTGACATTTCTGGTAATATCCGCGCATAATGATATAAGATGCTATACATTTATACATTTATACAATACTTCGCATCACATCCATGTATATATATATATTATATATATATATATATATATTATACATATACATATATATACATGTATATGTATATCGCCTTCATTTAACCATGCTTAAATGTTGACTGGTGGTCAAAAACATCATATTTTTTAGTTCTAGCTCGGACGTGCGGCAGTGAGCCACCACACTGTTGCGGATTTGTCGTGAAGAACAACCATAACTGCGTATGAATGCAACTATGGCCTAGAGCAGACTTCCTTCAAAGGACCACTCAGCCATGAACTTGACGGTGTGCCCACTCGTGGGAGGCCCCAACCTGTTGTTAAAGTCGATTTTGCCATGCGTCACTATAGAGTTGCTGTTCACCTTCCGCAGGAGGCCAGGGGATAGGGAGCAATAACAATAGGACGTTTGCCACCCTTCCCACCCCTCCGCCGTTCCTGCGCCCATGTAATCAGCAATGTGTGCCACGTAAATCCTGAGCGTAATTGGTCATCTGGTGAGTCCACGCATAATGGTCCATTACTGTGCCGTGGTAACGAGGGATGGATAATGGAGGGTGACGAATGCGCAGAAAATCTCGCAGGGATTTTGGACATTGTTAGGCTGGTTAAGTTAAGGAGGCGGCAAGTGTGAACGTCTGTAAAGCCCGGCCCGTCAGCCAAAAATGCATCACGTGAGCAGGCTGAATACTAAATAGAAAAAGAAATAGAGGCAGCAGGTGTGTGGAATAAGTCTGCGGTAAAATAAGTGAATACGAGAATGCATGCCAATCTGGCATCATTATCGTGGCATCGTCTGTCTATCCAGCAAAGAGCTGCAGATTCGTACCCAACGCCCAGTTTGGTTAGAAGAAGTCACTGCATTGTTGGCATACGATTGGTCATGCTACGTCGCTCCAGTTCTTCTGCGTCTTACGAAACGCCCACCTCCGCAGTCAGGTAGGGTGCGCTTAGCGAAGGACCTACGGAAATAAGCTCACGCCATGCGGAGACAGACTTTTACACTTTTTAGACTTTTTAGACTTTTACACGATGCTGTAGTGCCAACCTCGCGCAGCGTACATTGCCGTGCGATTAGGTGGTTTTGGTGGAGCCTGAGGCAGCTTTGCCTTGAAATTGGTTTGGATACATTGGTGAATTATCTAGATGGATATAGAAGATAAGTGTCTTCTTGATATTCTGGAATATCTTCTCGAACTGAAGATATTCTTCTGTCTATCGAATGTCTTCTGGCAAATAACAGCTGTGCTATAGCAATCAAACAATAGTCAAGCTGAGCATATATGGAGACCCACTTGAATGCCCAGTGGCTGCCACAGGCCGGCAGAGCGATCCAGCCCGCCCAGTAACCCGGCCGGCTGTTTCTGTGTCATATCTTTACCACGCCGCATGGGCTAGAAAACTTGGGGTAACTAGATCGTTGCTACAACGCCATGACAACGGGGGCTTTGACAGCTTTGAATAAGACAACACAACGATAAGGAAAACTTCCAGATCCTCTCTGACACTTTCCGCGACTTACTCACGCAGATCCGACGGTCCCGTGAGGAGAACCGCTAGATTAAATCGCTCGTCTTCGCTGATGCAGCGTCACCCACTTGTGCTTGAGTTAGCTGCCTGTTCGCGGCGACCTTGGGCACCCCTCGGAGACCTGTTCCACTTGTGTAGTTCGGTACCGTTGGGCTCGGCGCAGTGCGCCGGCCTGCTGCGCTGCACGATACCTGCGTCACCGTCAGCGACAGATTAAATTAGACGGATTTCGAGTTGGCGCCCAGGGCCTGCACGTGGATGGCAGCTGGTCTTTGAGTCCGGACTCCCAGGGAGACACCTCCGCTTCGCTCGCTGAATTCAGAGTCCGGCAGAGCGATTTCGAGCCCCGGGTCTGTCGTAAGCTTCTGAGCTGGGTATTAGTAATGGCTGAGTGGTGGGTGGAGCTGATTACATCGGATCATATTACAGAGATGAACGAATGAAGGCAGTGCTGTGTGTATATTGGCAGGTTTTGTCGTTTCGATGGGTGATATGAATTCCTTAAAAATGAAGGTCAAGCGCCCTTGTCGTTTTGGTTGACAGTCTTGGAGGCAAATGGGTCTGGAGGACGGCGAAGTCGTTAATGGTCCACGGCCCCAAAGATGCAGCACATTCAGACGGGATTAATTTTGTCGCGTGGGACATTAACTCTGAATGGAGTCTCGCTGCAGGGAATGATTACTTGAACTGTTGTAGCTTTTGGGCGCTTGTTTTCACCCACAGTGAATGCAGCACCATTTTTGCTTATGCAGAGACGAGGCATATGTGACCCTTACACAGACTTGGAAAGCCAAGCCAATCCAATCGCCTGGCTGAAAGGCTCTCAGACAGCCATGTTTTGATCGCCGCGAGTGAGCCAGACACGCTGCCATCTCGGTTAGTATCACCCAGCTCACGTTCGTCGCGAGTTGTTGCTAGTTTCCCGCGTCGCCTCCGCACTCACAAAGCGTCCAACAGCTCGCACTGAGTCGTACCCCCCCCCCCCCCCCCCCCTCCGGGCACCGGGCAATCGGCTCTCGCGGCTCGTGCGCCAGGCAGGCCCCGGTGGGCATGCGGAGGTGGCTCCCTCTGAGGAGGTCCTCACAAAGGTTTCATTACAGAGACCTATGATGACATCGACATCACGCATTCACCCGCCTGTACGGCGGCAGGAAGGGGGAGGGTGGGAAGGATCTGGGCGCTTCACGACCTGGCGCCGCGGCAACCGGGAGTGACGGCTGGTACCGCTTCCTCTGGACGGACGGTCCCACTTGCAAGACGCCGCGAGCAGCCAGCAGTCAGTGCACCCCGTCAAGTGACGCGACAGTAACGCGGCCACCGGGCAGATAACCTCGCGACCTTGACCGGACTGCGTCCGGGTCGTTCGGTGGCCGGCAGAGGGCGCGGCGGGCGTCGGCAGGCTGGCGGCGACCCTCTTCACCTCAGCGGCGGTATTACTCTCGCAGCTGAGGTCCACGACTGCAGGCTGAACATCGTTTGTTCATGGGACCATGGCACGCGAACGTTGACGATTTCAACAAAACCAGTCGATTTGTCTGCGAGATAATCAGTAGCGTGTGCTAAGGTTTGAGTGCTCACAAATATCATGTGCAGCTTCTGACGGATTCCAGCGGGCATAATTCCGTATGCTTCGTCGCACACCAAAACACTCCCACGCATAAACTACTAATCATGCCTTGATATCCTCCACACGTGTGCATCATAAATTGTATTGCATCACGTAGCGTAATTAACCCACACGGTATAGTAAGTATTCCTTTCTTTTACTACAGGTCATAAAGCTCCCGGCGGAAAGTCCGTTTACGCCCGGTTATTCTTTAGTTTGCGCACCTGGGGGGGGGGGGGGGGGGGGGGGGGGGGGGCTCCCCAATGACTCCTGGGCTCGGAGACAAAGTGCTTCCAAAAGAACGTAATCGGCTTGACGACATGAAATTGGACGGCTACGAACCCCCACACATGGGCCGTGGGACACGGAAGCTCAGGTTAGTCATTTGATGGCTTGCAGATGAGGACTAATGTAGGGCCCATACATTAATGCGGTATAAGTGCCTGCACGCTTAACAGCCTTTGAAGTTGGTTAGTTAAGGTTTTTTGGGGATAGTGGATGTGCAAAACTAGAATATAAAAGTCATGTGCTAAAAATGAATAATGTTCGGTGTCTAGAAGACTTTTCAGTCCATTCAAATCGTTTAAATGACGGTTTGTGAGCCATAGTTTGGAATTCTATAAAATCGAACAGTTTGCGTGGTCTGCCCTTACTCTTCGGGTGGCAGTGGGTCAAATAACTCAATTCTACTAACAATTTGTAATAAACTTCCGGGCGGATTAAAACCCTGTGAAATATGTTTTTTTCCAAACACTCATGCAGCTCCTTGCAAAGCCGTTTAAGATCCACTCAGTTCGTGAGAATAAGTGAAGCCGTATGGCACACCAGCGGACCGTCATCTGTGCAACTATCCAACTATCCGCTTCGCTGCCTTTTTTGGCACGTCAGTAAGACCAACTACCGCATCATTACTCGTCCTTGATGGGAACAGCAGTGTAAATATTCCCCCGTGCTCCACCGATTTATTGATGTAGACATATGCCAAGCGATCCAAGCCATGTTTTCGTCAGCAAGCCAAGCAAGACGTTTAACATCAGGAATACCGGCTGATGGTTACAGTCTTGAACGTTGTGAAAATGCGTTGGTTCTTGATGAGAGTGTGATTTAAGGCCACAGTGAAATGGACGTGGATTCCAATGGCGTACACCTCCACTCACAAGGTCGGTGCTAGCGTAAGCCGAAAAGTTTATCAAGCTTTAGAGCTTGAATTTGTCTTCATAAACTTGCCACTAGCTGTCGTCAAATGATATGTATGGCTCACAACACAGGCTTGTATTTTGAGAGTAATAAGGACTAATGAGCCTATCTAAAGTTCTCGAAATGATTCCCTTTCCACACCTAAGTTCGTGCATCAGGCGTAATAACGCTCATTTCGTAACGTCGTAACTTCGTTGGATGGAGTCATGCTCAATTCGCTTACACCCTGAAAGCGGCAGAGCTTCGCCATGCTTTCCGTGCATATCGGCAGGGAACTGCCCGTCAGCCCTCTGTTCAGCCATACAACAGCAGCCAACCACTCCAACGGGCCTCGTCCAGGCATCACAGAGCTGCTCCATGTTTTGTCATCGACCTTTTACCTGCCTGCGCCTACCGGGGCAGCGCGGGTGGCGTGCGGCTCTGTGGTCCACGGGTCATCGGCTCTGGTGTAGGTATCGCCGCCACAGCTGTCCGGCAGTGTGACCGAGGCCCGCTCCCCTCGCTGGCCGCCGGCGCTCGTAGCTCAGGCGGGAGAGGGGGAGCTCTCCGCCCGCTGATCGTCACCACGTGTGGTGCGTTGAGGGGGGGGGTGCGCAGGAGCCGCCGGCCGGCCGGAGTGCGGCGACGCCCGGGCGCCTCGACCGCGGCGGCCATGGCCTGACTCTGAACCACGGCTTCGATTTGCCCCAGGGTAGCGGCTCCGGCCCGCCGCGGTGTGGCGGCTACTGGAGCTACTCGTGGATTGAGTGGACAGTCATTTCAATGCAGTTCAGCCACCGACTCACTCTTTTCACAAAGCATTGATTGATTCTGGTTCAGTCCGTCATAGATCATAGAAAGAATAGCTATCTACGTAATCCTCCTAGATCCAGCATTTTCATCCTGCTTTGACACGAAATGTTAAGCGTACCTTATGTGGACCAAGGCTCTTCTGTCTGAATTGATTTTGCGCTCTTGAAACCTTCGGCCGAGCACGGTTTAAATTCAGTCGTTTTAATCCTCGTCTTTTGGACATTCCCGGTCCAATTTAATCCCTGGATTAGTCTTGCATTTATGCGTCATGGGTTCCGTAAATAGCTGCAGCGACTTCCGCCCGAGTCGCGTGCGGGGGCCGACGGCTGGCCCTGGTAAGGGCAATTAGCGTAATCGGTGCCACGGGTGGGACGCAGCGGACACAGTCGCAGCTCCGACGGCCCCACAAGTGCAGGGCAACACCCGATCCACTCTGGGCATACCTGAAATGAGGTCAGTTGGGCCGGCTCGGTCATGAGGTGCCGGTCGTTGGAGGATGTTATGGTGATCGTACGTAGGTGCGGTTGACATTTTTTCCTAACCTTTTATTCTTCCCTAAACTTCCGAACGAAATCAGGTACATAATTTAGCACGCTTTGGAGTTCCTGTAAGCAGGGTGAATGACAGTCAGTTCGCAGTTCTACCCTTACGTGATGAATAAGATAGGAGATAATTGCAGGCATTATTCTGCCACGCACTCAAAAGGTTCGAAATAGGCATGTGGGTTGGGGTATGAACGTAGCACACTTAACGCACCTGTTCGTGAGGCCAATTCATGAAATACTGGGTGGCGCACCCAATTTTCTACAAAGTACGTCATTCCCCGCCTGAACAGAGTGCGATCCACAGAGGTACAGCCAACATCAACCCGTACGCACACACATAAACGCGTGCGCACGCACCCACGCACCCACGCGCGCACGCACGCACGCACGCACGCACACACCCACACACACGCACCCACGCACGCACGCACGCGCCCACACCCACACCCACACCCACCCACACCCACCCACACACACCCATACACACACACACACACACACACACACACACACACACACACACACACACACAACACACACACACACACACACACACACACACACACACACACACCACACACACACACACACACAACACACCCACACACACACACACACACACACACACACACACACCACACACACACCAACACACACACACACACACACACGTACGCGCGCACGCATGCACGGACGTACGCAAACACACACACACAAATATGTATATATATGTATATATATATATATATATATATATATATATATATATATACTATATATAGTCAACGGTGTAGTTCCCTATTCAGCGGAGAGGTGGGAGTAGGGCTCCAGTTGTCTGGCTCCAAAGTCCAACTTAGTTTTCTCTGCTCAGCCGCTATTGGGAAATTACATCCGTGCATGCACTGCATATCATACCACGGAAGACCGTAGACTGGCCAAACCTGCTCTCAAAGCTCCGATCTGACCCGACCTTGACCCTGGCAGCCGAGCGACACCGGCAGCGAGCCAGGTCATGACCTCCGCTCGGAGGGGAGTCGGCAGCACGTGTAGCGTGCCCCGCAAGTGACTGGGCGCGGACACGTGGCGGTGTGAGGAGGGCGGCGGCGCGTGCCACGTGTGCCGCGAGTGGCTCGGTGCTGACACGTGGCGGTGTGAAGCGCCATGTACGCATCGGTAAGCGGCCACTCTGGCGGCGGCTCGGGCAAACACTTCTCGAAGAAGTCGCGCTCGGTACGACAGCCCCGCTCTCTGTACCGGCGCCTGGTCAACTTCGTCACCCAGTACGTCACCGGCGTCCAGTTCAGGTCCGGTGAGTACTCACTGGCAGGAACGTACACACCCCGGCCAACTTCGTCGCCCAGTATGCCCCTGGGATCTAGTTCAGGTTCGGTGGATACTCATTGGGCAAAGTCGAGCACACAGGTCAGGCTCGTGACCCATTGCGTGACCGGGTTCCAGTTGGGGTCCGATAACTGCACGACCTTTGGCCAGATCAGACACGGGTGTACACACTGAAAGGTAAAAGGTCGGCTGGTCGCGACGGGTCGTTCGATATCCGTCAAATGATGTTCGGTCATTTGGGATGTTGTCGATATACTTACGTCGTTCATACAGTCTTCTGTGTATTAATATTATCACGCGAAGCATCACTTTTCGGGTCGGTATGGACATGTCTGACTTTTGAAGCACATATGCAATGACATCTGTTTGTGGCATCTGTCCTCACGCCCGTCGTAAATGCTTCATTCAAATAATAATCATCCAGCTTCGGTCTCTGCTCCAAGAGCTTTCTTGGGTGTCTAGTTTCTCTAACTCAGTACTCTTTTAACTCAGTACTGATGCAGTCCAGTGTGATGACATCTGCAATTAATTTCCAAGGAACTTTCCAGGAGGCCTTACAGGGAATGTTTGAAAAAATCACATTTGACAACTTGAAGCCAGGATCAGATGTGATAATACAAGCTCACTTATAGCTATTGGTATACTCTTCAGGTGAGGAGGGCTGCTCTGGACAGCACAATTATCTACTTAATAAATATGCTCCTTGATGCATCATGGTTTGATTACGTCATCATGCCTTGCACAGCATTGATTGAGAGCCAGTTGATGGCTGTTATATCTGGAAATCGCGCTCACGAACGCCGGATATGAACGTCTCGACAATTTGTTTTGGCCTTGATCACCGCATGGCTTTTGGAGCGGCAGAATTTGAATGACGTTATCATGACGTCATGAATGTGAAGGTGAGTTTGAAACACCCTCCCCAATATACCCTTCCCCATTTTCACGGACGTGTAGCTCAGAAACTAAAGGGGCTTAGGTATTATGAGAGGCAGGATTGTGGACAGCACCAAAAGGTCTTCATATGTCTATCTCAGTTCAAAACCCCAATAAATGTGAAACGCTCCTTTTAAATAAAATAACGAAATACCATCCAGCGACCGTTAGGCAATGGACGCACTTCGCCCGGGCGTTTGGGTCGGCGGCTTCAAAGTCAGACGCAACCAAAACGGTACTGGAACCAAATGAGCTCAAGCTATTGATTATTGGAGGGACTGTTTGAGGTTTTGTGGCACCCGGTTTTTGGCACCAGCAATCAATCATTTCCGCCGTCTCCTTTAAACACGGGCTTGTGGCAAAACAAACGCAACGACTGTCACTGCAAATGCAACTATAATTTAGATGGATTGATGTGAGCGCGCAGGGTATCCGCTATCGAGATTGTAGCTGATTTATTCTTAATAATGCTTAATAATCCCATGGTGTTGTGCTTCGGGAGACTGCAACGCATCGGAGTCGCATGTCAGTTAATCTCGGTAAGGATGCTGATACCATACCATTTACACCTGCATGCCACATACCCAGCCGGTGCAGATGAAGCACGGATTGGCATACTATTACAGCAGCCACCTGTACCAAACATCAGAGCTTTAACATCGCAGCGAACCTGGCACCCTCGCATGCGTCCGCTTCTGGTGCCCCCCGTCGAGGTCACCATGCGGCTGTCTTTGACGTGCGATGTGATTTCTACCGGCGCGATCGTGCACCAGCATACCCCGGCATGCCGTCGCACGCGGGCCAGCTCACAGCGGCGATGCATCGCCCCTCGTTCCGGAGCAAACCAGTGCATTGATGGTGGTATGACATGCACATCCCGCAAAAACTATTGTGTCCATCCTTGGCCGCCGTCAAGGAGTGGAATGACCTGAGGCTGTGTAATCAGCGCGATCAGTGACTCTTGCCGTTGGTACCGCGTATCTCCAAGAAGTGCGGCTTGGTTTTACAACGGCCGAGAGACACGAGTGCAAGGTCACACGACCCACACTGAAGTCGTTGAATTGGCGTTTTCTGCTCAACAGGTTCTGAGAAATAGGGTCAAATTAAAAGCGAAAGCTAACCATCAATCTTCTGTTGCAAAGCACTAAGAGGTGTTTACTAAGACCGCGCCGAGTTAGATGAGTCAGCAGCCTCCAAAGAGGCATACAATGACGTGAGACTATCATGGAAGTTAAAGCGGTCGAGTTAAAGGGGTCGAATTAAAGCAGTCGAGTTAGAGCAGTCACTGTTAAACCAGTCGCTGTTAAGCGGTTGAGCTAAAGCGGTCGAGTTAAAAGGGTCGAGTTAAGGCGGTCGAGTTAAAGCGGTAGAGCGAAAGGGGTCGAGTTAAAGCGGTCGAGTTAAAACGGTCCAGTTAAAGCAGATAAGTTAAAGCAGACGCTGTTAAAGCAATCTTCGTTCAAGCGGTTAAGTTAAAGCGGCCGAGTTAAAGCGGTCGGGTTAAAGCGGTCGGGTTAAAGTGGTCGCTGTTAAAATGGCCCGCCGAACCAGCGCAACGCGTACAAGCAGGACAGGATCTGTCTTACGCTTAAGTGTGGCTACCGTTCTATTTTATCTGGAAGAGCCCATGCGCTACAGCCTGGAAAAGAAAAAAAAAGCAATGAGAAGTGGCCTGCAAATACGAGACAGCGGGCTGAGCGGTGGAGGATGGACAGAACGGCCAAGGTTTGTTGTTAGATTCTCGACTTGGAACAGGCCTGAGATCGAGAACGGCCTGAGACCGAGAACGGCCTGAGACGGTGTGTGAGACGATATGTTGTATACATGCGCCATGAAATACCCCTTGCCTGAGATGCTGATGACAATGGTCATAATCTCCGTTTAAGGTCTGAAAATATTCGACGCAAAAATCGGTGGTCGTATCCGCTATCAAGGTCCCCGCTCAGATGTTTTCTCCAAGTTTGACATTTGCCTGATGGACGTTCCATTGGCTAAATTGACTTGGATTTTAACACATATCCCCGTTATTTTGTTTTGTCTTTGAACTCTGCGCGCAGGTCACTTCCAGTTGGTGACCCCGTGATGGGTTTCTCCTCAGCAACCCCTCTGATGACGTCACAGTGCCGTACCGCAATCGCGTCGCAGTTGGGTGGTGACGTTTCATACAAAGCGCCCATTCGATTTCAAAGGATCGGCTCACTCGGAATTCCCGCCAGCTCGAGACGGTTTCAGTGAAGCAGCGCTGATCGGTGATCCAGGTCTCCTTCGTGGCTCGGTTGAGTCGCCATGAACTCATGCTGTGTGGTTTCTGATCGAAAAACCACCGAAATCAGCCTGGTAACCCAAAGACAGACGATGAACGAACTCATGAAGTTAGTTCCCACGCTATCTTAATGTGTTTCAGATGTGTTTTTTTTTCGTATCCAAGTTTCACATGTGTCGGCAGCTGCTGTCTAGGCCGTAGGGACACTGCACCGCACGTACATTGGCATTCGCGGACAAAAGACTCCGTCAACAATGGCATCGATAAAAGAGTCCAGTACTCCCACTGCATTATGCTACCACGTAATCCCCATAAATATGAGCATTCTATAATGCACGCACGCACTTCGAAACCACTTAAGAAACCACGTCCAGTATTCCCGTTTCATCATGCTTCCACGTAATTCCCATAAATTTCAGCATTCTATAATGCACGCACGCACTTAGAAACCACGTAAGAAACCACGTCCAGTATTCCCGTTTCATCATTGCTCCACGTAATTCCCATAAATATGAGCCTTCTATAATGTACGCCCGCACTTCAAAACCATGCGAAACTGGCCGGGCAGTGAAGATATGAGTTGCTAGGATGCTGCTGTCCATCGTCGGCAGTCGAACTGTTTCACTAGCAGCTGTCTGAAGTTTTGGTTCAGTTGGCTGCGGCCCCGGCTCCGACCAGATGACAGACACCAGGCGCCTCCCTCCGCCAAACCATGGGTCTGCCTGGCACCCGTGGACCTCCTGCGGCGTCGTGGACCGCGCGTATTGCGCCCTGACGTCTCCTGCTCTGGAGAGAAGCTCAGTGAGCAGGGTCGGGTGATGTACGGCTCAGGAGGAGGGACGGGCGCCGCCTCTCAGTCCCGTCACTCCGTGTGCCGTCCTCCGCCTGGCCCGGCAGCCTGTGTGGCAAGGGAGCTTGTGCATCTTATTGACGATACATTATGGTTATGCGACATCAACCTGAAGCAGGCGCTGCAGTCACGCATGATGGGACCAGATTGATGCAGATCATTAAGGGTGCGGGTTTACACTTCAGCCAATTGTTGAAAAGTCACGGTGGGTTTGCGAAACCTTAGCATCGCTCAATAATACACGTATCCGACAAGATATGTTTCGTGTTTTCGATCTCTTAGGACAGCGACCCTTGCATCCTTTCTCCACTTTTATAGTCATCGGCTTAAATGTTAAGTCACGCACACAGCTGCATGTTGATCTATTTTCACTATGAAATGTTTTGCGAGACTTATTACATTTTAAATCCTCCGAGTCCACATTAGCCTTCCTGTACGCTTATCTGGTGTTTTCACGAACTAGAGAAGCGGTAGGAACGTTCCACCACCAACTGACCAGCGTAATGTAAAATTAGCGTCAACATCTGAATATTTGGACGAAAGAGTACACATGCTGGAATCTGGTCTTCTGAATCCAGGTACACAATTCTGGCTCGATAAAATAGGTGTCATTGAATTGCAGTCGAGGGAATTCTGGAGGGGACCCACCCAAAGTTTTCCTTGGTGATCTTAAGCGGCACACGACGCAACTCCATTAACAATAAGTGGTTGTCGACACAGACCTGACCTTGAATTTTCATGACATGAGAGCTGTAGGCTTGATTTGGGATATGAATACTTGAATATTATTCAGACCCTATTTTATTATTGGGACGCGAACTTATCACAATCTTGCATTAAAGTCCGTAAAACTTACATAGGTTATATAAAGTTTGTGCATATACCTTGCATATATGTATGTATACATACATACATATAT